GTATTTTTGTCAAATAAATTTTGATAGTCTGGACAGGGATTTAAAGAAAGTATCCCCTTAAAAAATGAAAGACTGTATTTATACAGTGTTGAATATCTATATTGACTAAGGCGGAATTGACGAGGTTTATACTTTGCGTACACAGAATGTATACTAGGGAGCTTACGAAAGACGCGGTCAAGTTCTACGACGACCCAATGGAGCGTGAAGACAACGCGGAGATCCGTCCGCGTACTAAAAGTAAATTTGTTACGATAACACGACGCGGCAATTTATTTTTTAGTATTCAATTGCGCATGACCGTTTCAAAGGTGAAATGAAGTAAACAGAGCTCTCGGTAAAACGGCATGTCCTCTGTAACCGAAATAGCGATTTTTTAAGGATTTAGGCCTAGGCCGACTTTTTGACAATTGCAAAACTATTAGTACCATAAACATGTTCTATCTGCTTTACTTTTCCAATGGTTTTCTCTTTAAATACCCAGTATAACCAGTAGTTTATTTTTGCAAAAGGTTGATTATTGTATGACTGTTATTCCATATCCTTCTGATGATGCTTATAATTTATACCAAGTTTTCCATAAAACATCATGTACAGTAGCATTATTTTAAATATACAGCTGTTATTTCTTAATTATACCATGGTGGAAAGTTCATGCTTACATGATTACAAGATATTTACACACTTTAAATGTAGTATTAATACAGTACTTTTACAACTTAAAAAGAAAAGTTTATATTGAGTAATAATTAAAATTAAAGTTTTCAAATGTTTTAGTACCACTTATTGATCTTCCCTGACTAAGTACATTATATTCAGTTGAGTTTCAAATTTATGTTTATTAAAATGTATTGGTATGACCATGACATGTATGGCAAAAACAAATAAGGAGAGGCAGGCAATTTTCCAACATTTATAACCTTTATTCTTTCATCTTCGAAAGGAGAAAAACAATGATTAGTCACAAGAGGTATAGTGGATCAAAACTTGGACAATTTTTATTTCTGGATGCTTTCATTCATGCAACATTGAACCATAAGATAGAACAATGTTTATACAGTACAACCTCTATTATTACTATTAATTGCTCTCTCTTATTTTATACTTATGTTCTAGAGTTTGAATATTTTTAATAAATCTTAAACACACCCTCTATCCTTTTCAATTCATTGTAATAATAATAATAATAACAACAACAATAATAATAATAATAATAATAATAATAATAATAATAATAATAAATAATCTGGTTTGTAAGCTTTATTGATGTATGTACTGTTTATAATTTTTATACAGTATTTATATCATATTTTTAATGGTTATTTATATTTCAGTAATTAACTTATTGATAATTTTTTGTATTGTCCCATTCAAAATACTCAAAAATCCTAACAATCATTTTTGGAATTATCTTATAATAAATAAAAATAAATTAACAACATAGAAACGAGTATATTTAATAAATGATCTTTTTTCTCAATTTTCAGTGAACAATACATGTTTAATCTATACAGTAATTTGTGTATCAGGTTTGTACAGCATATATATTTTTATTCTTGACAGACAGTCTATTTCTGTTATTTAAGAGTTACGGTACGTCTGTTTTGTGTAATGCAAACATTTCAAGCCAATTGGCTACCACTTTGCAATGTTATCCCCGAATTAATAAAAAAAAAATTTTTTAACAAAGCACTGATTCTAGCTGGTTATGGAATTGTGCATTTTGTTAATACTAAGAAAATGTAAATCAACAGCATAGAAAACTATTTAAATTATATTTTTATTGGTAAACTCCTCAAGAAAATTATGTATGTAATATTATTCACTTGCTGCATGTATTCTCTTCCAGTGCAGGATATTTGATAATCCATCTGTAAAAGAAAAAAAAACCCTTTCAATTTTCATATACAGTTATAAGGCTTAAAAATTCAGAGTAAAGATAAGAATCAGGGAGCTTAATATTATTCTAACATAATTTGTTAAAGGACATAGATTATTTTCTGCATACATTTCTTTTAAAAAATACATTGTTTTCATGTAATAAATTTAGTGAATAATGTAGTAAATAATAATGATAATAATAATAATAATATAATAAGAAGAATATTAAATCAGACATTTTTAATGTGCCAATTTAAAAAGTCATCAAAGTGAAAATTAAACCAGACTAAAAAGCTTTAAAAAATAACAGAATTTTGAGATTCTTCTTAAATAGAACTAAATTTGCAGACTCGTTGACAGAAATGGGTTAACCAAGTCCAGAGAAGGGGTGCCTGAACAGAAAAATAAGGGATTCTGTTTAAGCATAGACATCCACGTTTGAATTTCGGTTAAGCAACATTGAGGTTTTTGGGATGGGATTTTTTTTATTCATCCTGATGTCACAAGAGATTCATTTTTTTAACAAAAATGCATTTAAAAAATCTAGGTATTAGAGTTTAGGGCAAAAACAATACCTAATTATTAGTACATTGGTATATTAGTACTTTTCCTACTTGATTCTTCAGCCACAGACTTCAAAATAAATGGTCTTCTGTTTCATCTGAAAACTAAATGATAATAAATATATTATTACATTATTAATAACCATCCATAAGAAAATATTGAAAAGACAGAATGTAGGTACTAGTATATGAAAATTTAAAAAATAATTGAGATTATGTACAATATTATCTAAAATATAGAACCATCCAAAGAACTTTAATGACTTTAATGAATAAAATTGATTAAATATGTTAATGCTGGGCTTAATTAGTGTGGATCTAAAACAGGTTTAAATACCTTGGAGGGATTGAGTGGCTAAATGCATATTAAAAAAGTATGGCCTTAATATAAATAATATAATTAAAATAACAGACATCTTAATCATATAAAATTCCTCCACACTAGCTGCCACACAATATTTTATGGTAATTCTGTATATTATATATGGTAAACTTTATGTACACATAACTAATTATTTGTGTTTATTTTATTTTGTTAAATGGGGCAAGGAGGTATAGTTTTATACCTTCTTGGATGGGGCTGGAGAGCCACATAGTATTTGATTAATTTTGCTATTGGATTGGCAATCTGGTCCACCTCTTCTAAATATTTTTATTGTCTCCATGGCTGCTGATACTAGATTTTTCTGTCTGACTCTGAAAAACTCAATTCCATATTTGAACTGTCTAATTTTTAGAAAACTAATGTTTATAATTTAAGCCTAGGCCTACCTACCATCCTAGTAGCAGGCTAGAGCATTCCTTCCTTATTTTTTATTTGTCCACGCTGTCAGCTATTGCTGACAATCCTGCCATAGTCAATATAGACAACACTGTGATGATGTTTCTAGGTTTCTTCAACAAGCCTTAAAATCAAAATAATGTTTTCAAGTATCTTGATTGAAATCGAGTTTGCTAAAATATACGGTGTATTTTATTGATCTCTAGCTGACCGTCTATCACATGCGATATTTAAAAGTGCAGTTACAATGACGACGTCTGACACAATAAAATTAAATCGCTTCGGATTCTACTGGTGCTTGGATTCTCCACAACGCTTTCGTGGTCCGGAAGTGTACAGAATCAAAAAAGGTCCAGACTTTGATTTAATTGGTGAAGACTAAAATATGGGCATATATAAAATTATATATGTTTTGGAAGTTAAAGAAGAATTGGCGAGTGAACAGAATACAATGACGGATCCTGGCTACGGGGGCTAAGCATTTTTAGACAAAATATTAAAAACCACCTCACCCCCGCTCTGGGCTTTTCACCTCACATGGCCCCTACCCAGATTCTTTTCTGGATTCGCCTCTTAAAATTGCCAAAACTGGCTATCAAACCCGGGTTCTATTGTCGAGTCAAAAAGCCAAGCGATTAAGGCAGAGGCGCCGCAACCTACAGCCAAAATATCGGCGCTGGTTCGAGCGGCACACTCTCTTAAGGTTACGGTGATACGTGGAACACTTAGTCTTCTTGGGTAAGGACCATAGGCCAAGTGTAACATAATTGGCTCATGTGCACTATAAAGAACCCAGTACATCTTTCGAGACGAGTAGGAGGTTACCCTGGTGTTCAAGTCAATACTACCCCTAGACAGATGGTAACAGTTGGTACCAGTGTTTATTTGGTATCTCACACACGAAAGGAACCATATAGGGGAGAGGAAAGTTATTGTAGGCCTACTACAAGCTACAATAGACCACATCAGTGGCGGCGCCAGGATTTCCCCGACGGAGGGTTCAAGGTCTACAACGGGGGAGGGGGTGTGATGTCCCCGATGAGAAAACGTCGGCGTGGTCGGACGTGGTCGGGATTATTTAATCGATTTTAGAGTATATTGTTATGTACAAAGTACATATATTTTTTTTATTTTCTTTTTTTCCCCGACGAATTGTGGTTTTTCTCCCTGAGGGATGGGGGTGGGGGCAAGGCCCTGTCTCTTATACACATTTCTATATTTGGTCATAGTATTGACAAACACAATAATACAAATTCAATTCAAGAATAGGGAAATAATTATACTGTACATGAAAATGTGTTTTTCTAAGCAAATTGAACAACTAATTGACAAGCTCCAATAGCAACCTCTTTTTTAGGCAACTGGGTCACTGACGCTATTATGACCATTAATAGTATTGTTTGAAGGTTTGCATGGCGAAGTAATAACATATATTTTGAAGCTTGCGGTACACCACGTAGGTAGTTCTGAAATGAACTGTTGTAGTTGAGAAAGTCTAGACGTTTCGATTGAGATGCTTCAATCGTCTTCAGGGAAATAATATCTGCAGAAATTCTAAATAGAGAAATACTTATATGTTGGGGCTGGTTGGTGATTGGATGGATAAACTGACCGTATATGCAGATTTCTCAACTGCTTCGCAAGAACATTAGGCCGAAATCCAACATCACCAAGGATGAACGAAACGCATTGAAAAGTCTTCGTGCTGACCCTACTATCCATATTTTACCAGCGGACAAGGGCAATGCAACGGTCATCATGAATGCCGCTCAGTACAACGAGAAAATCTTGCATATCTTGAACGCCCCTATGTATAGGAGGATCAAGAAAGACCCGACTAAAGCCACCGAAAGGAGGATTGCAATCAAGTTACTCGAACTACATCGTTTGGAGGCACCCCTTTGGAAAATACAACACAGTGGACACAGTGTGAAAAACTATGTGTTCACATAGTGTACACATACTGCACCACAGTGTGTGCACTGTGTGTTCACAGTGTGTTTACAGTGTGTACACTGTGTGAATAACTCCTTGACTATATGAAATTGGTGAGGTTTTCACACTGTGAACTGTGTGAAACACAGTGTTTACACACAGTCCCCTCACAATAAACACAATGTCGCCATAGTGTAGCCACACAATTAACACACTGTCCGCACACAATAAACATAGTGTTTCCATAGTGACACCAAACATAAACATAGTGTCACCACACAATAATCACATTGTTCCCACACAGTAAACACACTGTCCCCACAGTGTAGCCACACAATTAACACACTGTCCCCACACAGTGAACATAGTGTTTCCATAGTGTCACCACACAATAAATACAGTGTGTTTACAATGTGTTCACTCTGTGGACTATGTGAAATTGGTGAGGTTTTCACAGTGTGAAACACAGTAAACACATTGTTGTCACAAATTGCTAACATTCAGTAAACACAGTGTTCACACACTGTTCCCATAGTGTACCTCACAATACACAAACTATCTCCATATTGTTACTAAACACAGTGTCACTATAGAGTAAACATAGTGTCACCCCACAAAAAACACAGTGTGTTTACTCTGTTGACTATGTGAAATTGGTGAGGTTTTCACACTAAACACATTGTTGTCATATCTTGCCAACATACAGTAAACACAGTGTTAACACATAATATTATTGACTATGTGTTATTGGTGAAGTTTACACTAAAATGTTTGTTCTAAAGAGATTCAGTGTCACCACGCAGTAAAACCATCACATGCACAATCTCAAAGTTCTCACCTTCATCCTGCAAGGTACAACAAAAATAAAATATTAACAGTTTTAAAATTGATAAAATAAACATTTATTAAACTAAAAAAATTAAAATTATGTATGTGTTATAACATATAACATAAGTTAAAAACATACATTAGTCAAATGTATACAGTAACTGCTTCACACTAAAGGTATTGTTTTGCTTAAATTAGTCAAGGATTTTAATAGTTGTTAAGTTAATGTAGCAATGAGTTTACAATTGTTTAAATTCTTTTTATTGCATATAGACGAACAGTTACTTAGATGGTAAAGCATGCTGCAGCTCATCTGTAGGATATGAAATAAACTTTTTAAAAAAAATTTGATTACAACACTTTGCTAAGTTACCTTTAGCAAAGATAATTACCATTACAATTTAAAATTTAAAAATTACTGCACTTTAAGCGCCTGTTGTTAAACATTAGCTGCTGTATCCATTCCCTTTGATATGGAGCGCCTTGTATCTTTACATATTTTAATCATCTTGGTTTTTACAGCTGCTGACTGGATATCTGGGTTATCTGAAATTATATAAAAAAATATTGTCACAAAACTTCGAAAATATGAAAAGTAGGACTATCTATCTAAGTAAGCATTACATTGTTCTTATAAATTTCTAGGTTCGAGTAGAATACTGTATATGCAGTAATAATTTTGAAATTGACATGTTCGAAAGACAATTAGATTCATAAATTGTGAACTTTAATTGCTAAACCCGGAGTACACCATGAGACTCATGTCAGCATGACAGCACAAACTTGAGTAGTGACATGTAATAGCAAGTATCACGCAACATAATGCTTCATTATTTTAATGGTGTTAATGTGGGACTGTAGGTTTCATTATTGCTGACAATACTGTATTCTAATGTTTAATGTGTAGATATGAAACATTAATTTACTTACTGTAATTGAATCGTGGAGCAATGAGGTATACATAAAATTTTAATGGTCTTGGGGCAAATGTCAAATTTTGTTTACAATTGTTGAATAGTACATTGCTTGTATTTTTAGTAATTCAACATGGTAATATTAAGTCATTCTAAAATCAGCGGTCGTAAAGCAGACAATTTACTATAATGCAATTTAGTTACTGTAATACATTTGCTGTTGTCTTAAATTAAAACACATATGGATTATTTAAATCTCAAAAAAATAAATAGAAAATTAACTTACCAACTATTGCAGATACTGTATATTATATACCAGTCTACTTGCATGTTGACTTTTTAAAGATGCAAAATAGTCCTTTGAGACAAAATGTATCTAGTGCAACCTGAAAATAAAGAAAGTTCTTAAATTAGTAAATAAATGCTCTGTATACCTAGTCTTTTAAATACAATGTATTTTGGCAGCCAAAAATACATGGTAACTGATTTTTAATTTATACATTTTTAACTTCTTATTTAAATCAAACAGAGTATTTTAAAACAAACCCTAATTTGCAAGTAGATTTATTATATACATAGTTTGTAAACCAAACAAATAAAACTAACGATCAAGAAAATTAATCACACGAAAATCAAGCTGGCCAGATGTCGAGTAATTTCGACCCAGGCCAGACATTTAACGCTAAAAATGCAATTAATATAGCAAGGCATACATAGAATGTACAGTGCTAGCTAATGTTCAGTAGGCATTTATGCTATATTACTAGGAATAGGCTAGTAGTACTGTTTTAGGAAGGCTAATCCAGCCTAAAACAACTTTAATTGTTGGTGTAAATATATTTCAATTCTTACCAAATGAAGATAACATTTTGGGTTTTTGTTTTTATACATTTAGACCTATGTTACATACCAAAAGATTGAATTAAAAAAAAAATAATAATAAATAAATAAAAACGAATTAAAAAGCGTAATTGCCCGTCATAACCATTAATTCCACAGCCGAGTTAACGGCCGTTTCAACCAGACCATTTAGGAGGTCAAGCCTAGACCTAGGTCAAACGGTCGTAGCCTAACTTAGAAGGTCTACTAGTTCGAGTTTATTTTTCTGTTTATTTAAGTAGTGGGTGGGTTATGGATTGGAACACTGATTGTTAGTACCAGCAGCAGGCCTATGGACAACCTAGCTAAAATGAATTTATTAAAAGTGTATAAATAATAAGAAAAATGCAATTTCGAATTACCTATATGAATAGAATCGACAACACTTGAATACAGTACGCCATTCAGACATTTTTCTTGGAGGGTTCTTGTTAACTTTGGGTCTCCATATTCTCCACCTCAGTTGTCCTCGAACCTTATTTTAACTCTGGGACCATTGAATCTTCCAGGATACTTGTCTCATTTGTCCCCGTCCAGTTGAGTAGAACCCATGCACATTTTCGTTTTGCGAAATTAATTTAACGAATCAAATTTAACACAACGCTTGCTGTAATCGACGATGAAACAATGAATCCCCGCTTGAATTTCAAATATGATCTTCCTTCTTCCTCACACCATCCTGGTGCAACCAATGATCGGGCAGGACGAGCTGCATGTGACCTGATTTTCCAACATTTCCACCATGACCCCCCTGGGATTTCACAAAGCATATTGGCAAGACTGTGATCACTGTGGTGATAATACGATTTTATCCTAGTAATACCAGGTAGATGTACTGAAAAACTATTTTTTTACATCTTCCTGTTAATACTGTGTAAACTGCGAGGTAACTATAATATAGGCCTATAAAATATAAATATTACTATATAACTATATATGTAAGTTGATCAATGTGTTTCACTACATAACACACTGAACCACACTGTGTTCACAGTGTGTCTGTTTAAACACACTGTGATTTCTTCTACTCTGTATATTCCTTAAAATCACACTGTGTTCACTGTGTGCTTACTGTAGAAACACACTGTGATTTCTTTTCACACTGTGTATCCCGTAAATTAACACAGTGTTCACTGTATGTAATTCAAAAACACAGAGTTAACACAGCGTTCACTGTGTGGACTCTATGTGAACAAAGTGTGTACTGTGAGGACTCTATGTGAACACAGTGTGTTCACACTGTGGTATTTTCCAAAGGGACTCTTGAAGCCACTGTACCATCATCAAATCCGACCTTCAGCATCCATATGCCCGAGACTACTCGGACAACCGAAAATTCATAAAGCGGACATTCCACTACGGCGGCCCATCGTTTAGGATCACGAACCTACCCTCTCGTCAAGTATCTTGTCAGGATACCGTATCCACTGGTATGCAACACTGGTCATCATGTAGCCAACTCTCAACACTTTGTGAAGACCATCCGGGATGTTTACCTTGAATCTACAGACACTTGTTAGCTTTCGACATCAAATCAGTATTCACAAACGTACCGGTCAAGGAGGCTTGTCTATATAGCCAAACACCGTCTAGAAGAGGATCACACTTTTCAGGAATGAACAGATCTGATCTCTGGCTGCGATACGTCGATGACACATTCATCATTTGGCAACACAGTAAGGTGTATTTAGATGGTTTTCTAGATCACCTGAATTCTCAGCACAATCACGTTTACCATGGAGGAGGAACACAATCGCTCTTTACCTTTTCTTGATGTTTTGGTAACCAGATAGAGACGTTTTGTCACATGCAGTCTATCGAAAACCAACACACACCGACAGATATCTAAACAAACGCTCGTTTCACCATCCGTCCACCAAGAAGGGAGATTGTAACACACTCATCAGAAGAGCACATTACATCAGCGACCACAACTTCATCCAGAAAGAAGTGCAACATGTTAAGGAAGCCCTAAAACTGAAGTGTTATCACACGAGAGACATTGCTACACCCAAACCCGGCAATAGGCAAGATAATGCGGAATCGAGAAACTCTGTATGTTTACCTTAATACAAGGATAAACCACCAGCACAGAGTCAGTCAGGAATTTATCGCATCCCGTGCGAATGTGGGAAGGTTTACATTGGTGAAACAGGACGAGATTTCAGTACTAGGCTCAAGGAACACCAAGGCCATACAAGGAGAGGGAAACAACAAAAATCGTCCGTAGTCATGCACTCCCACAGTCAGCTCTAAGCAGCCCCAACTTTTCTTCTTTTTCCGCCTTACTGGAACTATGCCTTTGTTTTTGGTCGTTCTCATCCCTTTTCCCGCCACTCTGGAACTATGCATTTATTTTGGTCATTCCCACCCTTTCCCGCCACTGGAACCATGCGTTTGTTTGGGCGTTCCCAACCTTTGTCTCAGTGGACAACGGCTTTTGTTTTAGCCTTTCACTAGCAGTCTTCTAATTGGTCAGTTTGTCCATCCAATCACAACCAGCCTCTCTACCCAACATGTAAGTATTTATCTGTTTGGAATTTCTGCAGATAGTATTCTCCTAAAGACGATTGAAGCATCTCAATCGTACGTAGAGACTTTCTCAACTACAAGTTCTTTTCAGAACTACCCACGTGGTGTACCGCAAGTTTCAACATACAGTATATGACCATTATTATTATTCTATAAATCGCATGAATACGTATTGCTCAATGAATCTTCAAGAGGACATCGACCGCTCTTTAAATGGATACCGGTACTGTACCTACTTACCAGGCATGGCTGTACTATATCTTTCATTCAAGCATTGGCCCATATCTTCCGTACAATTGTTACAACACGTACAATTCACTAAACATTTTTAAAAAAATTATTCGATATTTAATTGTATTGCTTGGTGTGTATTGCTCTACCTATTACTGAAAAACAACATCAACATAATATTAATAATAATACATAAATAATAAAAAAAACACTAATAATAATAATAATAATAAATATTGTGATAATGATAATTAAAATGATGGTGATGATGATAAGGGTAACGGCAATGGTAATATCAGTATCAGACAAAAATAATACAATTTAAATCAAAACATTATTTCTTTTTAAAAAAATTGTGAGTAAATGCTATTGGTCATTATTCAAAGATCACCAGTAAGTCAGTCAATTGAGGAGCTAAACTAATAACGTGATAGTACAAAAATAAATTTTGAAAAACTTACTAGAGTTATCAGAACATTTATTGAAATCAGATTGACATGCACCCGAGCCAGCCGTATTGTTATTGACCATGCGGTACCAACAATTTCCTAATAAAAATTGATTAGTTAGTATTTTCATTACAATATCATCTTATTGTTGTTGTCGTCGTCGTCGTCGCCACCACCGGTAGAGGCAAAATTTTTTTTTTTCATTTCTGATCAGATATTTCTCTTCTGTTATGTTTAAATTATATATTATTATTTACATTATGCGACATGTCGTTTCTGGGTTTATCCCATTTGCCTATTAACCTGTCTCTTATACACATCTAGATGTGTATAAGAGACAGGTCAAATACTGTGTTATTGAGCCACGTTTCACACAGAGCTACAATTCCAAAATGATTCATTTGCATATTTATATAGAGTTCAGAACTGTATATATCCATTTTGTTTTTCAAACTGCGTACATTTTGGTAGTAAACTGAGAGAGGAGTGAGCCTGTTATTTGCAATTCGATCATGACCAGGCCCGGGGTTTAATTCAACATCCCCCGAGACTGTTAATAAATCAATGCGGAATGTAGCTGTTGAATTTGGATAATACATAGTTCGCTTACCTACATAGCAAGTATGTGTCGATCTGTAATTCTTGTAATATGTGCGAGTATATGAATGCTAAGACAGGTGAAAATGCAAATGAGTTAATTGTTTTTAAGTAGGTATTTGTTGCTGTACCTGCATTTAGACAATAGCTCGGTTCTTTTGTTTAGTGTTGACTGTTTGTTTGTTTGATGATGATGATGATGATGATGATGATGATGAAAGTCTACTGATTCTGGAGGAAAAGAAACGTTTAAAAATGTTCGGACAATATTCTATGTAGGCCTTTTGTTTTATTGTTCATTTTTCACCAAAAAAAAATCGTTCATATACAATATGAATAAAAGTAGTAGGCCTAGAATTACATAGCAAGCATATATTACAAAAACTATCGATATCGATACTCTGGCTATATGGCGTAATGTTTATTAAAGGCGGTCTACCCAATTAAAACATTAAAGAGCTCATTTAAAACGATAAAAAAAAAATAGGTGAAAATAAAAAATAGTTTTCACTGATTTACAGACAGTTTTACAAAAAAATCCTAAAATTTTACCTGCCAATGAGTCATGCAAAAGAATACAGCAATTAATGCGATCACTGTCTGTTAATTGACAGTGATTTTTTTTTCCCATAAAAAGTTTTAATTGTAAAATTGTAAGTTAAAAACTGTGTCTGAAGTACTCGTAATTTGTCTCCCAGAATTTCTAAACGTGTCAGAATCAGTACTTACTATAGGGACATTATACAAACAACACATTTTATGTCTCGGCCTATAACTGTACTGTGCTCAAATAGCCTGATTTAATATGACTGTGCGTTTTTATACTTTCGGAGACCATGCTGTACATACTTTGTCTAGTCATAGTGATATTGTTACAATTATAATCCATTAATTTTCACACTGTCTTCACTACCAAGGTCTATTTAAGAGATTTTGGCCTACGCTGTAATAGTGCACATAGTCTAGCTGAACAGGATATTTTTTTACTTATTTGGGAGGCTCTCTCTACTGATCAAAGCTACCAACAGAAACAAGAAAGCTCATTTGAGGCTTTAAGCCCATTGTTAAGCAATGAGTGTAGCCTACGTATAGCAAACGCTTCTTTAAACAATAGGATAGACCAGTGGTGGCGCCAAGACCTGCCCGACGTAGGGGTTAAATGCCCCGACGGGGGGGGGGGGCGTGGCTAGTGGAGCGAATCGAGTCTCACTTGGGTGGGGGACGCCTAGGGCCCCCGGTGGGGGTCCAAGGGGCGAAGCCCCCTGGAAACCACGGGTATTTGATGAATTATGGCGATTTTTTATTACTTATTTTATAGGCATCGAGTTACTATAATACGACTTCATGTAGACTAAGCTTTCTAATGTTGAAATCAGCTTCCAAAACCAAAACCTTTTGAATAAAGCAAGAAAAAAGAGTATGCAATGTAACTATCTTATTTATTTTCAAATCCTCATTCTTGAAAGTGAAATTCTATATTTTGGAAATTTGGCATTAAATCTGTCAACCACGCTGTCATGGTCGAGGTTGCTTTACCTATCACGATGTATTCCAACCATCATGAGGCTATCTAAATGAGCATTTATCATAACAGAACGCAAATTATTTTTAATTAGTCTCATTGAGTTATTAATATTATTATTATTATTATTATTATTATTATTATTATTATTATTGTTATTATTAAGAAAGTATAATACATACAGGAATCATTCCTGATGATGACATAATTAATGTCAAAATATTGAATTCCAACACGATGGCGTGTATCTCAATACTTGGAGTATGTATTATACTTTCTTATCTGAGATTAATCACTGGACCTTTCGGTTATTGGCGCCCCCCTGGCGCCAGCACTGGGATAGACAAGTTTTGCAAAGTGGCAATAATTAGTATTAGAAAATGCTCACACAGCCATCACCCTT